CCATAGAAATAGTGATATACAACGAAAAGAAGTGAAAATGTTTAAATTGTTTATTTATTAGATCAAGTTTAACGTAATAATATTCGACTATTTCCATGATTTAGCGAAAAAACATCGATTACTTTTTCGAAGTCTATTTCAAAATCTTTTTCTACAACTAATAAGCACATATCACTCAGTCTTAAATCATTCATTGTATTTCTTGTGGATTGTTTGATCAGCTTCATATTGATTGGGTTACTTTTGGAAACTATAGTCATCAATTTGTGATTAGTCATTTCTAAGAATATCATTCGATAAACAACCGAACGAAGTTTAATCAATGGAATACATTGAAGAAAATGAATATGAAATACTGTTGTTTTTTTTACAAATATAACTCTAAATACTATCGGAAGGTTCATAATAATTATTTTCATTTTCTCAGAAAGATCGCTGGACTTCTAAATCTTAACCTGGTTGGATTCAGAACTGAAATTTTTTCCGACAACGTTTTGTACTCTCTATGTGTACATCAACAAGTTAAAGACCAAGTATTTAGCGTTTAATTGGTTATTCTAAGAAAAAAAATGTTAATTCAAACTCGACTAAAATTTTGAAGGATCTACAGTCCCCTACCAACGATTCAATACAGTTTATCATCACTGACACTAACATTTGTTCAATCGTTGGAACGTACAGTTACAAAAGAACGTTTATTCTAATAATTTTAATTTTAAAATATAGCTCCAAATACGGATTTTAAAGTTCCAGTAGACTCAACTTCTGTGATTACTCACTATTCAGTATTTACACTAGCAACAGATATCCTTATGAAGAGCATAGGATTCCGATCAATTCTAGAAGAAAGTTTCTTCTTATTCATACAAATAATCATATAGTATTATGATGAATACTTCTAATTTGTACCAATCTCTTCCATAGTTCGAAGAAAACATTTCTATCATAAAGAAAAAAAAAACTTTTCCTTCTTACTTTGCTTGCATAAACTTTTCCATATAGTTGTTTTAAAACAATTTCAATTAATATAGAGTTAAATATTCATGATTTTTATTTGTTATTAATATTTCTTTAATCATTTGTATAGCTCTTGAACTTTTCATTTTTATTGAATATAAATTATGTTCAATAGATAAACTTTTATTATCTATAATTCCTCTCATATATAATTAAATTTCTGTTATTCAACTTCGTGTATGTTCCATCCGTACATTTTTCTATATAAATCTGATAATAAAGAAGCATATGTTGATCAAGAGTAAGTTCTTGAACTTCTTAATTCACCAATATAACTACATGATTGTGCACGACTATATGACTGTGAATGATCCCAAATTAAATTCAAACTTCATTTTATATGCGGTGTTACGAATAATCGTGCTGTTATTAAGGGTTTTTTTTTATTCTTTTCATTGTTTGTAGACTTAGCATAGTCAACTTTAAGAGAACATTATTGCATACAAAATTCCAACGAACGTTCATGTTGGATGCATGTCTAGTGTTGAAACATTTGCTTAGCTATCTTTACTCTCTACTAGCATATTTATGAATTTATATTAAGTTTCAAATCTTTCTACTATGTAGTTAATAGGATTGTATTCGAAGACAGGCTGCAAACTGCTAAGCAATATTAAGTTGTGAAACTTACGTTGAACAGTTAACACTGTTGAACATTGTGTTAAATCAGTACGATTTTCTTCAATAATTGTTATTTTACCAGCAACTTCTTATGACCAATCTTAAATAGTTAATGTTACTTTACTATTTAACAACAATTATGATGAGTATTTTTTGTGGAACTCACATATATTTTCGAAGAAAATAGTGAGTGTGAGTTTTAAGTTCGAGTTTTCGCGACTCCTCCCCCCCCCCCGCCTTACAGACTGCAACAACCGCGCATAAAATGCTGCAGATTTATTTAGCAATAAAAAGAAGCAAGTTAAACAATATTAAGAATATGAGTTCGACTGCTATATAATATCTCAATACTTTCATACTTTTTTAAAAAAACTTATATATTTGTTAAAGTTCGTAATAATGTAGTCGTGGATCTTTCTTTTAATTTGAGCTTACGTGTTAAAAATCAAGTAGGCAAAGTAATAATATATATTGATCTGTTATAGCAGTCATATAATTAATATGAGATGTATGATTCGATCTTTTTATCAGTGTGAATGATAAACAATAGCGGCATTATAGATTAATTGAGACATAAGCTAATGTAAGAGTTGTTAATGTATATAACCTACATTATTCTAATAGTTCTATTCATAAAATAGTTGATGGTGGAGAAAAATAATTTCAAATTAAAAAACAAAAAAAATGATTATTATTGAGTATATAGCAATAATTATAAATGAAATCGAGCGCGCTTAAATGAAAAAACAATATTTTCGGTTTTTAGTATGTTTTTTTAATATACAAATAAGTAATAAATTCCCGCTCTTTTTATCGATTTTCAATGAAAACAACGTATAGTTGACAAGAACTCTTTCAGTATACAGATAATGCGTCAGGTAACAAAGCTAAACATATACGTGAGTTCCACATTTCAGATCCGCAGGAGCTGCGCTAACAAGCTTTTTTAATTGATTTAAATTTATTTTTCTTATACTAAGTTAATCTTCGTATGAGAAAGCTTGTTCCTTCTACTGATAAAATTTGAATTTGTTACTGATATTTATATATAAAAAAACTGGCCACTTTAGTACTGATCATTTCAATACTTACACTGATAATTTGTATATTTGTTTACCGACAATTTCTTTTAGTTTACTGACCAAAAGTTATGTTCTCATTAATAAATATGTAGTAATCGATAAATAATCTTTGTATCAACTAATTAATGTAGCTTATATTGTGGTCTAACTCATGACTGAAAAACTTCAATTCCTCTCGTAGTGAGTCAATGATAACTCTGGCAAACATGCATGCAGTTAATTGATCGGAATATTTGTGTTCGCAGAAAAATATTTCAGTTTATCATCTCAAAGAAAAAGATCATTCGAAAGATACAATGTTTTTGGTAGTTAGACTAATCTTGAATAAATATGATGGCCTCATATTGTTTTAGAAATACACTCTAATATACTAGATAGTTGGATTACGTTTTTGATACTTTTTAACAAAAACAGCATCACTCGTATTCGTTTGAAAAATAGATACATAATACAGAATTCGTAGAAAATTTATGAAGTATTATTTGACAAGACTTATGCATCAGAAAACAATCTCAACATTTCGCAACATATGATCATTTCTATTATAGGATATCAATTTGATAAATTTATAAATTATTTAGACACTTAATTAAAATTTTTTTGCAAAATTTCTAAGGAAACTTCCGATGAAAATATTCATTTAAGATAAATAAAACTGCCATAATATTATGCTGAATTTCAGCATTTTGAATCAATAGAAAGGAAAGAAGGAGAAATTTCATATGTCACACATATGATGGATATACTGAATGAATATCTCATTTAATAGCTTACAATGATATCAAATACATCCATTATGACGATTTTTTCTTGTTCTGTTTACATCATATCATTTTTTCTTATCATTGGTCTCAGTAATAATGCTGGTTTTTTCTTTCTATAATTGTATTGTTTGTTTATATATACATGTATGAAAAATAACATACTTCCTTATACAGAGAGCAGTTAGTTTATTTTGTGCTGTATACTACAACGTTCTTACTAAGTATCTGAAGTTTATTATGGTAACTGTTGCGAAGTCTTGGAAGGTAAACATGGCATTAATACATCATTCACAGGTGCATTTCGTCTGCATTTTCAAGAATATTTGACTATTTGACATTTACTTTCAGTCTATACGTTGAAAAGTAAGAACTCTTACCTTGCCAGTGTTATCACTTCCTTTCTACACAATGGCGACTTTCCAAAAAGCACGTGAAATTTGGTTTATCTATTTGAAGACGGAAGTTTTTTTGATCAAAAATTGGTTCTTTAATAGAACCTAAAGAAACGACGATTATAGGCAGCTTTTGTTTCCCTCTGAATGAAAGGTAGAAAAAATTTCTTGAAAAATCTTGAATATAAAATATTTGAGAGTTTATTTTGATAACTGTTTTCATTTCATCTACCCAAACATTATAACATGCCTCTATTTTTTTGTGAATGGGAATACGAGCAGGCAATTGTATGTAAGCACAATAAAGAGTACAAATATTCTTAAATTTTCTCGAAAGAAAGTAGATTAGGAGACAAGAAAAATAATGATGTTACTGTATAGCAAAAGAATTTCCACAAGAGGAAGAAAGAAGCAACAAATAAGCAGGAGATGACAGCGATGATAAATAGGGCTACCGATAACCTGTATGATCTTATAGATCTAACAGTTTAATGTAAACAAAACATTTATTTTTCGACTGAAAAATAGACGATACATACGTATTTTGATAAATGTTATCATTATTCTCATCATGATAATGATACCATAATGGATTGATTGTCACACTATTTTATACTTGAAATTTCTGTGAAAAATATACATTTAAAGATTGAGAAAAAAAAAGTCTTGTGAAAATCTTGCTTCAAGAGAATTTGAGCAAAATTTTCGCAGAAATTAACTGAAAGACATGCTACTAGATAAAATTTCCACACTGATTTCAAATTCTGTGCTTTTTTTCAGGATGGTATTAAAAATACTGATACTTTACAGACATTCACGCCATTTCAAGAAGATTATGGTCAAGATCACCGATTAGGAAGAACTGTACAAATATGTGATTATAGTCCACGTGCTAAACATTCTTCTTTATCATCGAATTCTGATTTCTTTTGGTGCCGACACTATATAGAGACGATTATAAACCCATCAGATGCTTCTAATGACAAGAGCCAGTTAGTCGATTTGATGCGTGAAAGGTTTGCCAGGAATGAAAGTCAAATCATCAAGATTGACGAATTCGACGTAAAATATTGTGCTGACGAGGCGATCCAATGGTATACACAAGATACATTTTTATATCGTGAACTGAATAAAGCAATACGTACACCAGACTTCGATGTTTCGTTTGCATTTCGTTTTTATATTCGTGATATTTATAAACAACTTGAGAAGTTGTATAAAGAACAGGAGTCTTATCTGCATACATGGAAGTTTTACCGTGGTCAACTAATGCAAACTAGAGAAGTTGAACGATTGACTGCTGGAAAAATAATATCCGTCAATAGTTTTTTCTCTACTTCTATCAATAAAGAAGTTGCCATTAAGTACGCAGGTCCACCAGAAGAATCAAGCGGTCTCGTTGGAGTACTGTTCGAAATCGAAGTTAAAACCTATCAACCACCCAAGAACAAACCATACGCATATATAAGCAATTGTGGCAGTGAAGAAGAAGAAGTTTTATTTATGCTGGGCACCGTTTTTCGTCTGAAAGAACGTAAATATGACGAAAGCAAGCATTTGTGGAATTTTGCGCTAGAACTCTGCGGAGAAGAAGACGAAGACTTGAAAGCTGCTGAAATATCAGGGGAAGAAGAGATTAATAAAAATGACAATAGTAATTCGTTCTACGGTCTACTCTGTTCTTTGAATAACAAAATTAAGAGTTTACAACAGCAGTTCTCGGACGGTTTCGATGAATGCACTGTTGATTCGCTCCGAGATAAGAGTGTTTCACTTGTGAACAAAGTTTGGGAAGGCACTGAAGATCCTGATGCAAAATCAATTCAAGAAAGCCAGATTCAATTGGTGAAACAAATCTACGAAGACATTGAAACACCACCTAAAGAGTATATAAAAAAGACATTTATTCATAGTCTTAAAGTTGTGGCCCAGCTATCTGGAGACGTGAAAGACCCTATTAGAAAATCGGAAAAAGAAAATGTTCTAAGTATTAGTGATAGCAAAACATTCAACTGGTGTGCTCAGTCTTTGGGGAATATGATCGATAATGAAACGGAGAACGAGTCGAAAGAAGAGCAGAAGGCTGACATGGGATTAATGGCGGAAACACTCGTTCAAGGAGTCGCATGTGTTTTGCACGATCTTGGAATTCCTAGTAACGAAGGGATAACGCAAAATATTAGTGAAGATGGTAGCAATAATTCTCATTCATTAGTGGCTAATTTAGTTGAGAAAATTAAAGGTCTAGGTGAACAACTGTTGAATACTAGATCTTCTCTAACCATCTCGTCTCGCAATGCCTTTCCTCCACTTGAGCTTGATTAGCGGAAGATACAGAATACATTCTGTTTCTCTTTATTATCTTCTCCTCTGTCTTTGCTTCTCTATTTTTCCTCACTTACTTCTTCCCGTAGAGCTAATATACGACTGATTCAAGTTCACTTTTCACTTTTATATGTAGTATTGTTTTTTTAGTGATTGTTGAAGTTTTTTTTACTTTTTCCCAGTATTCTTCTGCGTTTTGTTTTTTGATAAACAGAAAATAAATGTTAGAAATTGAATATCTTGTTGTCTTCCTATCACAGAGTTGACGAAAAACGATAAAGACTCAGAGTGGAAGAGTAAAAGAGAAGACTGTTGAATTGAATCTGTCGATATTAATTGCTATTAATGAAGGAATTAGAACAGGTAACGAGGCTCAAGTTACTCTCTGAAACGTTGACCTTACTCATTGATCTAGTGAATTTGGACTATACCTCTGTATTCATCTATAAATTGTTTTTGAAGAAACAAATGTTAAAACCTATCAGATTATTAGCAATATTTTATATTGTATTTGCCGGTGATTAGAAAATAATTGTAATAAATATATCCTGTTATTATATGAAATATCGATGGCTTGAACTATTACTGCAAAAATCATAATCCTATATTTATCTTTTATTTAAAAAAAATGACAGCCTATACATCCGAATTCACAAAAGAAGACAAAAAATTTTATTTTTTCGAATTTCGATCTAGAAGTTTACCCTTTCGATCTCATCATATGATTCGTCAACACGATATTGTATAAGTATCGAACTGAATTAATCTTTGGCACATATACCTTGTTCCGAGAATCGATGTCTAAAATTCTATGCATTTAACAGAAATACCAATGTATCAATTATAATTAACTAACAAATCAGAAACAATTTCAAGATTGTAACGAAATGTAATGAACTATCCATGAGATTAATAAGCAAACGAATGATTACGATTGAAGACAAAAAACAAAAGAAATTTCAAAATCAATTAAAATGCATTTTTTGAAGATTGTTTAATTTTAATCATTATTTCACGGGTGGAGTATTGATGCATGTGGATATGCAAAGAAAACAATCACACATGCACCCACACCCACGCCTAAAAAACTCCTTTTCTCTATCTTTGATACTGCGTACACACAAGCTTGTATGTATTTTGTCCTGTAATATTGGGCTTTTCATGCGATGAAATGAAGCAGCAAAAATGATCTCATGAAACGTCATATTTATTAAATAATTATTGAAAATGTGGAATTCATGAGTACATTATTCGATTTAACTGGCTATGCAAAATATTATACTTCCTCTTTACACATTATGGAAGCAGAATCAATATTCTGTTTTTTTGTGATATTTGATCATTGTTTAAGTATTATCATAACAGTATAATATCTGTAAGCATTGATTATGACGTATAACGATAATATTAGACCATATTCTCTTCAATATACAGAGTGACCCATAAATAACATGGCGATAAGAACTTTAAGTATCTCCGGCAGATGTCGAGCAAACAAGCTGAAACTTTTACCAGTGATAGAGGCATATTCAAAGTTTATATCCATAAAGACATGCCTAGAGAGACCCTTTGCTAAGTATCACTATTGACTTCAACACATTGAATATCTCAGTTATGGTCCGAGCAAACAAACTGATTTTTTCATCATTGATAGTGGCATATTCAAGCTTTATATTCCTAAAGATATGTGTAAAGAGATCCATTGTTAAGCATATTGTTTCTTCGTTTATCTTTAAAAAAGTAAAAGTTTTGTGTTGAGATCAATAGTGATACTTAACAAAGGGTCTCTCTAGGTATGTCTTTATGGATATAAACTTTGAATATGTCTCTATCACTGGTAAAAATATCAGCTCGTTTGGTCAACATCTGTCGGAGATACTTAAATTTCTTATCGCCGTGTTATTTATGGGCCACCCTGTATATTCTCCTTTTAGACGCTGGTATTCTCTACTCTCACATCTACATTATATATACTGATACAAAACATAGTTATGTACAGAATAGAATAAAATATTATTTCCATTAACTCCATTGCAATAGAAAACAACACAATCTATACGACAAAAAATATTTACATTTTTCCTTATAGAAAAGTGTTTATATACGTGGCTATCTATCTCACAAGAAGAACAGAACAGGATAAGACCTCAATAGTTTGATAAATATCTCATGACATAGGATAAAACAGAAATAGGAAGCAATTATCCTATGCTACCAGACATCAAAATATTTACGTTTTATTTTCACCCATGCTATAGAACATTCCCATCCTATGCAACGCTCTGACATGTATAAATATCATTTGCGTGTCATAGATATAGATATACGCAATTGCACATATTTATATCAAAACTATTGTAGCGCTGTTAACAGAGCTAGGCTTGAATAGTATTTCTCTTTGTGGCTATTGTTATCGACATTTATCATATTAAAATAAATGTATATTCAAATATTGTTTTTATGTTAATATAAGCAACATATATTTCTAGTTTTTATACTGTCAAGTACTAAAGTCAAATTATTTAATACATATACGTATTCAACCAACATAACATAATCTCGTGTTCACTTTTTCGAGATGCTCCTTTTAACGAAAGCATGTACAGATATAAGGTAATTTTCTGATTTCAGTTTTGATCAAAGAAAAACATCATTTTAATGAGGGTTAGAAACGTTTTTTCAACAGAGTAAATGATATGAACCTTTTAGCAAATTAGAAATCTTTCCTATAATTGGAGACTATTTATCCGTTAATAAAAGAGGAGAAATACAGACTACAAGATCGATTCTCATGATTGATTTTCTAAAATAGTTTTCTCAATTTATTTTTGTTTTTCTTGCCATTTTTGTGCCTATTTATAACTAAATTTGATCTGGACAATATTTCGCGACTATCATATTAACGTTGCATTAGTTCTTGTTTGCAAACTAATAAAAAAAGTATTCTTTTATCACGAATATTTCCAGAATGTGTCAAACTATCACTTTGGATAACGTTCCAAAAAATATTTTCCATTTATTTCTGACAACACATGTAAATACTTTTCATATTAACTCTTCGAGTACAGAACTTTTTTAAACTAAAAATATTTATAATTTCAAATCGATATTTTTTTTCAAAATATGATCAAATACATAATTCAGAATACTTTCAGAGTAAAATAATCTTTAAAACAATCCGTTACACACAATGCTACAACGTATTCAATACATTCATAAAATGTATCTGTTCTCGACTTGCCTCTCCTCACAGTATGAGCACAAACGTAACACTTTCTCCTCCGAGTTTCTTGAGAGCTGTTGATGCAATGCGCGAAGGAAAACGTCTTGCAGCAAGTCGAAGTGGATTTTCAGAAGATGGTCAGTCAATTGAAATTCGCACCTGACTACCATATTTTCCAATAATCTCTCGAATAAGATGAAGTTGATACGTAGCCAAATGAAGATTGACATTTTTTTTCAGCTTATATAAAACGTACGTGTATGCATTATAAATTGTAAGATCCATCAAATGAAAGAAGAACTTTTTTGTAGCGTTATTCTGACCGATGGATGCACTCTGAAAAGCTTATTTGTATGTCAAACTTATCAACCAAACCTCTGTTCTAATTGTATTCTTTGAAATAACTCCCTGATAGCGTACCATTGCATGATATACTTGTACATTACGAAGCTTTTAATCTTGAAACCATTCTTCTGTTTTCACAGAATTTGTGCTACATGGAATCAACTCTGTCCACACAAACTCTAGATTATTCTGACTGAAAAAATCATATTTCTGGCAGGATTAGCATAAATCTACTAGTATTCGACAGTTCTACACGCCTATAGGCCGCGCCAAAGGTTTATTGAAGAAATGAAGGGAAGATCTCAGCTTAAAAGCTTTTAGTTTGCAGTTTCTTCCTCTTAAAATGAATTTTTCTTTTTTCTAATACTAGTTTGTCACCCTCCACACTTAATTACTTGAATCCAAAACTCATCGCATAATACAGTAGTCTCATTGATATTCAAGCTATGGTGTGGTAAGTTATTGGTCCTTAACTAACAGCAAGAGTTTTCTAATTGGTAGTAGTTTTCAATGCGAACCTTGAATCTCCTCTATTTCCCAGCAAGATCTTACTAGTAATAGCTCCATTTCTGAGCTTTTGAATGATGCGTTGCACGAAAGTAAAAGTCCAAAAATGGCCGAGATATGTCATTCGTAAAGCGATAACAATGTCCAAATGATAGCTTTAGCATGTGTCAATCAATCGAGGCCGTGGTGATGTTTGCGATTATGTTTCACTAAGATCGACGTGTACACAAAAGATTAGTTCGATATGGTAGAATATAGTACCACCCTACAAGGGGGGTATCTACTTTTGTCTACAATTGTATATAATCCCACACCCGACTCACTCATTAAAGGTTTGGTATAGGTTTCGTGAATTAACTAAATAGTCATCTTTGAGTTAACCTATTGAATGATCCATATCTAATAAAAATGACTTACGTAATCGTCCAATGGATGTGTCATAAAATACGAATTTTACGTCGAATCAAATCCATTTTGATTTCAATGAAACAAATATCATCATATTTTAATGAAATTTTTGGACGACAGCTAATTTTTAATCGTATTAAGGAGTGCATCCAGTCTCTCTTATTAACTGAATACTTTTGAAAAAAAAAGAGATATTTGTATTCATTATACCTGGGGCGATTTGAATTATAAATACCTGTGATAGAACGTCAAAAAATATTTTTTTCGATATCTGATGGTATTTCATGTGTAAACATTTGGATTGTGATAAAGTAGAAATCAAAATTGAAAAATATTTAGAGATTCAATTCTGACTCTGTAACAAAATTAAGCTCAAAGTTCTGGGCGCCTTTGATCAGTGTTTTGACGTAACTTCTAGCGTATTAGAATGAAATAAATGTCTAATAGTAAACTAATAAATCGATATCCATCAACTGTATACTTAACTTTATCTTACTTTGTGACGTCCTACTCGTTCGGTAAAGTAAGAAATACCTCACTTTACTTTATTAAAGTAAAATAAAGTTAAAATGCCACTCTTAGTCTGAATCAGGATTTTAGTATGGGTTTGAAAGGCCATCGGGATTTATTCTTTGGAATTTGTTTATTTATTCGGACTTTATTAATTATGATGGTACTTTAGTATGCCCATACCTCACACCTTTATTCTTAACTTTTTTCAGATTTCATACAAATTCATCTGTAGAAACATGGCCGAATCCTCTTATCAAGGTACCAATGCACATACTGGCATCATCATTCTTGGCAATGCTGGATCGGGCAAGAGTTTTCTTTGTAATCTCATAATTGGAAATGAACTATTTAAATCCGCTATCTCAGTGGATGCAGTAACAATCAATACAGAATACCATTCAGTAAAGCAAAATGCAAAAGAAATCCGTATTTACAATATTCCCGGCTTGGTGGAAGCTGATCAAGGGCGAATAGAAAAANGATTTGAAGGCTTGTGTCGCTACACTAGTACATTTTCTCTGTTCTAGAAATCAACCTCGAGTAAATAGAATAATTTATGCCAGTTACATTTAGCCGATTAATCCAATGATTACAACAAATTCTACCCACTGGATCTTCGGAAAACTGTAGCTTCTAATGTGAATAAAGATATCAGCGAAAGCATGTCCTTATCAGACAGTTTTTATTACTTAATATATTCACAATTAATCTTACATTAAATAGACTATATTTTAATCTATTATAGAATCAAAATAAAAAAATAATAAATTAATCAATTAATCAATTAAATGTTGATTATCTATTTTGTTTTTAAATTAGATTTATTATTTCATCAAAATAAACGAAAAATAATTTCGATTACACTAAATTCGTAGATTTTTAAATATTTTTGTTAACCTTTGTTAATATCGATTAAAATCTTTTTGAATGATTGAAAGATCATAATATCCATAAAAATAAATATAATTCTATATGAATAACAGTAATTGATATTGATGAATATAAACAATAGATTTTTTTTTTCAATAATTTATATAGATATTTATTAGATATTAAAATAATATTTCTTATATTATATATTAATATATAATCAAGAATAATTTAAAATAAAACTATTTAACACTTATTATTATCATTGATAATAGTCTATATTAAAAAATATGATATTGACCATAAAAGAAGTTATTCTTGTTCGATCTTCTATCATTGACATTTGACATATATTTTAGTCTTTGTCAAATAAATCTCATCTTTTCTTTTTCTTTTTTCTTTTTGATTAAAATTATTTTTTCATAATACTTAACTAATAGTACGATTTAACCAACTACAACTTATATGATGCTAATAGATGATCAAAAACAATTAAAAATTTATTCTTATTAAAAAGTCTCTTTAATAAAGGTTTGTTTTTTTTCTTTCATTAATCGACATTATCTTAGATAATTATTTCTTTCAATTGTTCCTTTATATTAGATAAGTCAGTAGTTTATTGTTAAGGATAAATCTGAAAATTATTCATCACATATATTTTAATAAATTCAGAAGAAAAAGAAAGAAACAACATTCGATCATATAAATTATAGATATGTATATATTAAGCTTTTGGTTTTGGTCATTTGAACGCGAGAAAATATGTGATTGATTAAATTGATCAATATGAAAACTATTTCTGACTTTAATTCGTAACATAAAAAGTTTGAAGAAAATAATTCTTAATCAATAATTAATAATCTAATTATAATCTAACCTAAAGAAAAAAATGAAAAATTTCTATTCTATTAGAGAGAATTATTTATAACTTTGATCAGCTTCTATCATAATCTAGTTTATAAAGAATTTTTCATTGAGAATTAAGATAAACTATTGATTTTTCTATAAAATCATTTCTAATTGTTATCTCAATTGTATTTAATAAATTTCTAATATCTAATCATTAATCAATATTTATATTTATATGAATAATTTCAAGAACATTTATAATAAAGATATTCATTGTTTAACAAATCTATATAAAGTTTTCTGTAAAAGATATCATAGAATATCGAAGAAAATGGAAATAAGAAAATTAACAATATGAAATCAGTCTTCTATTTAATTGATACTATTATAATAGAATTTCTTCAATTGACTATTTTTATTTTCTCATTAAAATCAAATAAAAAGAATTGTTTTTTTTATCAAATCTTAAATTAAATAATAAGTAATAAAAAATTAAAATTAAAAAAAAAGAAAATTTCTATTGATTATATTATTCATTTGATAATATATTTTATTTCAATATGATTAATGACATCCATCAATTGAAGGATAATATTTATCTTTAGTTATATAGCTTTTATTTAATTTATGTAATATGATAAATAAACAATATAATGTTGATAGAAAATGAATTCTATAAAATAATATCAATTGATCATATTCGTAACAGTTTATTTTATATGATGATCAACAAAAATAATAACAAGTTTTGAAAAATAATTTTAAAAAAAGAAAAAAAAGTTATTTTTTTTAAATGAAAACATTTTATATGAATTATCAACTCCTCCTGAAAGAATTAATTGACCTATTGGCCAATCAACATATAAAACACGACCATTCATATCCTTGAAGATCATAAAGAGGAGCTTTTAACGAATATGTATCCCATAATTTAATCTTTTTTATTAATTAAAATAATATAATTTGTTTTTTAAAATAAAATCTAATAAACCTTGAAGACATGTATCATAAAGACGAACAAATCGATCACTAAAATCACAAACTAATAAACCATTAACAGGTAATGTATCAAATATTAAAGTAGTTTTTCCACATTTCTAAATAATAATAATTAAATAATTAAATATGTTTTTTTTTCTTTTAAATAAAAAGAAAACAAATGTTTGTATTAATATTAATCTATCCATATTCCATAATCTAACCGTTTTATCCCATGAAGCTGAAGCAAGTTCATTTGGAGAATTCCAACCAATTGATGCAACATTTCCATTACGAGCATTTACTGTTAATCGACATTTTTATTTTTATTTTAAAATATTTTAACTTATTATTTTAAAGTAATTTTAAATTTACTTTTATTGATGGCTTTTCTTTTTCTTCATCTAGTTCTTCGATTAAAATAATTAATTATTAATAAAAAAAAAGAAAATAAAAAGCTACACCCAAACCCCATAATGTATTTTTTTTTATCAAAAGAACCCGAACAAAAATATGACTTTTGTGCAGCTAATACTTCAATTTTTTCTTGATATTCTTTACAAGTAACTAATGATTCAACATTCTACGAGATAAAAAATGTGAAACACGAACTATCTATTGTTACTAAAACCACAAAAGCTCTTTTGTTCTAGGAGCTTCTGTAACTATTTAGTCTGTAGATTTTAGTAGTTGAAAGTCTCAATAACGAAGTTCTGAATCTATTTTGTAATATTTTAATAATTTGCAAGATTAATCTTTGTATCTACCTTGTCTACTGTAAGATGTGATTCTTTATAATTATTATTTTGATAGTTCTTTTCGCCAAAGTATAGATTGATTCTTTTCAAATTTAAGAGTGAAAAAGGACAAGTATGAAAGTTTTTTAATAAGAGAAAAGTGTTCACAGATAATGCTCAAAAGTATAGCTCCTAATCAAAATCTTAAAAAACAGTCTTATTTTCATGTGTCTTTTCCGATACTGGGATTATTTTGTGTTTTTTATGAATTTATATTCGTAAAGTATGTTGCAATATTTCTATGCAATGGCTATGATATATCCTATCATAAGAAACGAAACAGTATAAAGTTTCAAGACCTCGAAAATTAATAAATGGATAAATTTTGTTCAAATCCATGAATCTTTCTTTCTGCTATACACATGGTCTTCTGGACCATTTGATATTGAAGCTTCAAGTTAATAGATGTATTCAGTGAGGAAATGATACAACAAATTTGAAGAAAATGTTGCACAGTGCTTTATGAATATAAATTGATAAAAAGCGCAAAAAAATCCCAGTATCCAAATGGAAACATGAAAAAAAGGCTGCTTTTTAAGAATATGATTGGAAATTGTACTCTTGAGCATTATTTATGATGTTTCTCATGGTAAAGAAAAATTTCAAATTTATAGTTATCATTCGAAAAAAAAATCTTGGCTCGTCAACTCTGTTCAATGACTTAATACCACGAATCTGCTTTCCCGCATGACTTTTGGAACACCCTGTACATTAAAAACATAACGCGAAAAAACCATATACAACTTGTAATTTAAAAGTACAGAAACAATTTTAACAATGTATTCAAAGAAACTTTTCGCTATGAACTCATAGAAAATCAGCATATCATCTAGTATCGCTCACATCTACGCTATATCATGCATATCATTTACAAGATTTATGCTTACTTAGATGTTCTTGTAAGGTTTTCATGACTTTCTTCACAAACTTTTTGTTTCTCAAAAAATCTATTGGATATATAGGAAATATAGGACGACTAGGAGGCCAGATTATCTATCATCCGTACGATTTTACTTGCTAACTTAGAAAAAGTTTCCATGAACTCATTATTCTTAAATCCTTTTCTTACAAGCTAAATAATAGGACTGCTTTTTGTTAAATCAATTTGAATACTTAATTTAATGACTTCTGTCAATACTAAAGATGAATCTCAAAACCTGTAAAGTCAATCTTTCTTACTCTTATTCTTCGTAAAAACTGAAGATTCATTTTCATGTGTAACTACAGAAAAAAAAGGATGTGTCAAAAATAAATATAAATTATCAATAAAAACATATCATTGGATTAAAGACTAACATGTTCGGCTTTAGAATTCTTGCGGCTTGAACGAAAGAATTTAATTGTTTTCAGTAGAAACAAGTAGAATCAGTAGTACGTTGAATTCTAGTAAGAAATTTCAATCTTTAGGCGTAAACTTTACACTGCTATTTTTATTTTCTACTTTGTCTTTCACAAAATTGAAAAGAGCTGTTTTCATAGGAACCACAAGACTTTTCACTTTTTATCAAAAAATAGTTCTACAAACGAGACAGCTATTAACTCTAACTAACAGTGAACAGCAGATTTCAATTGTCTAAAAATAATTCGAATCCTCATAATTGTTCTTAAACTTCTTAAAATCAACTTTTGTTAAGGTCATAATGTCTATTTTGAAAGAATTCTACAAACAAATCTACGAATACATTCAACCTATGAATAAGAAATCGCGAGTAAACTCGATACTGTATATCATAAATGATAAAATAATTGATAGTTTTACTGATACTTCTTGATTTTTAATGAAAGAACTAGCGTACTCTATAATTTCCTTTGCAATGCGTCAAATGATTTGAGAGAAAAGAATGATTTAATTTCATGTCTAAATGTGAACAAAGTATTTTATTCGATTTACATGGAAAGTTTTAAATTCAGTCAAAAGGGTGTGGGTATGGGATGGGTGTTGATGTTGATGTTGATCTCCTGTTGAACAACATCCATACCCACAAACCACACCCACAGTTATATAGTTCATCATATTGTCAATTAATAAAGGCTACTATTTAAGTGGTCAGTAGAATAAATGAAATGGTCAGTAAAATAAGTAAATGGTCAGTAACAAATGAATGATCAGTAAATTGAATGAACGATCAGTAAATTATTTAAACGGTCAGTTATTGAAATGATTAAGTTTGTTGATATATTTAATTATTAGTAAATTAAATCAAATGGTAAATATAAAAATCGAAATGTGTATGAGGCGGAGATAGGGATGATGAAGTGATATTAAAATACCTTCAAATCGACATAATTATAACGATGTGAAACGGTCACAAATAATACCAAAAAATGGTGTGTATTGTAAACATTATTTTAGAATGTTTAAAACCATTTTCACGGTTCGTAAAAAAAATCATTCTAATGGATCACGAAGGAGGGATTTTTTGGACGATTATTTGTGGCCATTTTGTACTATTTTTTTTATTGAGATTTGAAGACATTTTAATGCTATTTTACCATTTTTATCCCTGCTTGGGTAATCGTTTGAAATATTGCTAGGCACCACCTGCAGCAAAATCAGTGCCGACCGGTGACAAGAAAAAGAGGTAGATCAACAAAGGCTAAAACTGCTTTGCTAGTACAGTAATTGAATTTTCTTTTTCTTTTTCTCTATTCATTCTTTGAATTTCTGTTTTATGTTCTGTTGAATTTCTTCTTATGTATTCTGTGGTTTTTTTAATTTATTTAAATTTATTTTTCTTATACTAAGTTAATCTTCGTATGAGAAAGCTTGTTCCTTCTACTGATAAAATTTGAATTTGTTACTGATATTTATAGATAAAAAAACTGGCCACTTTAGTACTGATCATTTCAATATTTACACTGATAATTTGTATATTTTTTTACTGATCATCTCATTTATTTTACTGACCAAAAGTTATGTTCCCATTAATAAATATGTAGTAATCGATAAATAATCTTTGTATCAACTAAATAATGTAGCTTATATTGTGGTCTAACTCATGACTGAAAAACTTCAATTCCTCTCGTAGTGAGTCAATGATAACTCTGGCAAACATGTATGCAGTTAATTGATCAGAATATTTGTGTTCGCAGAAAAATATTGCAGTTTATCATCTCAAAAAAAAAGATCATTCGAAAGGTACAATGCTTTTGGTAGTTAGACTAATCTTGAATAAATGTTATGGCCTCATATTGTTTTAGAAATACACTCTAATATACTAGATAGTTGGATTACGTTTTTGATACTTTTTAACAAAAAAACATCACTCGTATTCATTTGAAAAATAGATACATAATACAGAATTCGTAGAAAGTTTATGAAGTATTATTTGACAAGACTTATGCATCAGAAAACAATCTCAACATTTCACAACATATGATCATTATTATTATAGGATATCAATTTGATAAATTTATAAACTATTTAGATACTTAATTAAAATTTTTTTGCAAAATTTCTAAGGAAACTTCCGATGAAAATATTCATTTAAGATAAATAAAACTGCCATAATATTATGCTGAATTTCAGCATTTTGAATCAATAGAAAGGAAAGAAGGAAAAATCTCATATGTCACACATATGATGGATATAGCGAATGAATATCTCATTTAATAGCTTACAATGATGTCAAATACATCCGTTATGACGATTTTTTCTTGTTCTGTTTACATCATATCATTTTTTCTTATCATTGGTCTCAGTAATAACGCTGGTTTTTTCTTTCTATAATTGTATTGTTTGTTTATATATACATGTATGAAAATTAACATACTTCCTTATACAGAGAGCAGTTAGCTTATTTTGTACTGTATACTACAACGTTCTTACTAAGTATCTGAAGTTTATTATCGTAACTGTTGCGAAGTCTTGGAAGGTAGACATGGCATTAATACATCATTCACAGGTGCGTTTCGTCTGTATTTCCAAGAATATTTGACTTTTTGACATTTACTTTCAGTCTATACGTTTAAAAGTATGAACTCTTAATTTGTCAGTGTTATCATTTTCTTTCTACACAATGGCGAGTTTTCAAAAAGCACGTGAAATCTGGTTTAACTATTTGAAGACGAAAGTTTTTTTGATCAAAAAGTGGTTCTTTAATAGAACATAAAGAAACGACGATTACAAGCAGTTTTTGTTTCCCTCTGAATGAAAAATAGACAAAATTTGTTGAAAAATCTTGAATATAAAATATTTGAGAGTTTATTTTGATAACTGTTTTCATTTCACCTATCCAAACATTATAGCATACCTCTATTTTGTAGTAAAAGAGAAATGATAACTGTTATTCAAAATCAAGAATAACGTCATTTTCCTCAATGGGAATACGAGCAGGCAATTGTATGTACGCACAATAAAGAGTACAAATATTCTTAAATTTTCTCGAAAGAAAGTAGATTAGGAGACAAGAAAAACGATGATGTCACCGTCTAGTAAAAGAAAGAAAAGAGAATATTCTAAAAGAATTTCCACAAGAGGAAGAAAGAAACAACAAATAAGCAGGAGATGACAGTGATGATAAATAGGGCTACCAATAACCTATATGATCTTATAGATCTAACAGTTTAATGTAAACAAAACATTTATTTTTCGACTGAAAAATAGACAATACATACGTATTTTGATAAATGTTATCATTATTCTCATTATGATAAAAATACCATAACGGATTGGTTTTCATACTATTTTATACTTGAAATTTCTGTGAAAAATATAGACTTAAAGATTGAGAAAAAAAAGTCTTGTGAAAATCCTGCTTCAAGAGAATATGAGCAGATTTTCGCAGAAATTAACCGAAAGACATGCTATTAGATAAAATTTCCACATTGATTTCAAATTCTGTGCTTTTTTTCAGGATGATATTAAAAATACTGATACCTCACAGACATTCACGCCATTTCTAGAAGATCATGATCAAGATCACCGATTGGGAAGAATTGTACAAATATATGATTATAGTCCACGTGCTGAAAATTCTTCTTTATCATCGAATTCTGATTTCTTTTGGTGCCGACACTATATAGAGACGATTATAAACCCATCAGATGCTTCTAATGGCATGAGCCAGTTAATCAATTTGATGCGTGAAAGGTTTGCCACGAATCAAAGCCAACTCGTCAAGATTAACGAATTTGACGCAAAATATTGTGCTGAAAATGCGATCGACTGGTATACACGAGATACATTTTTATATCGTGAACTCAATAAAGCCATACGTACACCAGACTTCGATGTTTCGTTTGCATTTCGTTTTTATATTCGTGATATTTATCAACAACTTGAGATGTTGTATAAAGAACAAGCGTGTTTCCTGCATGCACAGACGGTTTACCGTGGTCAACTAATGCAACCTAGAGAAGTTGAACGATTGACTGTTGAAAAAATAATATCCGTCAATAGTTTTTTCTCTACTTCTATGAATAGAAAAGTTGCCATTAAGTACGCAGGTCCACCAGCAAAATCAAGCGGTCTCCTCGGAGTACTGTTCACAATCAAAGTTGAAACTGATAAATCATCCAAGAACAAACCATACGCATATATAAGCAATTGGCACAGCGAAGAACAAGAAGTTTTATTTATGATGGGCACCGTTTTTCGTCTGAAAGAACGTAAATATGATGAAAACGAGGGTTTATGGATGATTTCGCTAGAACTCTGCGGAGAAGAAGACAAAGACTTAAAAGCTGCTGAAATATCAGGAGAAGAAGAGATTAATAAAAATGACAATAGTAATTCGTTCTACGGTCTAGTCTGTTCTTTGAATAACAAAATTAAGAGTTTACAACAGCAGTTCTCGGACGATTTGGGTGAATGCACTGTTGATTCGCTCCGAGATAAGAGTATTTCACTTGTGAACAAAGTTTGGGAAGGCACTGAAGATCCTGATGCAAAATCAATGCAAGAAAGCCAGATTCAATTGGTGAAACAAATCTGCAAAGACATTGAAGCACCTCCTGAGGAATTTGTAAAACAGACATTTATTCAAAGTGTTCAATTTACGGACAAGCTATTTGGAGACATGAAAGATCCTATTAGAAAATCGGAAAAAGAAAATGTTCTTAATATTACTGATAGCAGAACATTCAACTGGTTTGCTCAGTCTTTGGGGAATATGATCAAGAATGAAACGGAGAACAAGTCGGAAGAAGAGGAGGAGGCTGACATGAAATCAATCGCAGAAACAACTGTTCGAGGAGTCGAATGTCTTTTGCACGATTTTAGAAATCCTATTCACGAATGGATGACCCAAAATATTAGTGAAGATGATAGTAATAATTCTCAACCATTAGTGGCTGGTTTAGTTGAGAAAATTAAAGACCTAGGTGAGCAACTGCTGAATACTAGATCTTCTCTAACCACCTCGCCTCGCGGTGTCTCTCCTCCTCTTGAGCTTGATTAGCAGAAGACACAGGATGAATTCTGTTTCTCTTTACTATCTTCTTCTCTGTCTCTGCTTTTCTGTTTTTCCTCACTTACCTCTTCTCGTAGAGCTAACATATGACTGATTTAAGTTCACTTTTCACTTTTATATATAGTCTTGTTTTTTTAATGATTGTAGAATTTTTTTCACTTTTTTCCAGTATTCTTCTGCGTTTTGTTTTTTGATAAACAGAAAATAAATGTTAGAAATTGAATATCTTGTTGTCTTCCTATCACACAGTTGACGAAAAACGATAAAGACTCAGAGTGGAAGAGTAAAAGAGAAGACTGTTGGAGTGAATCTGTCGATATTAATTGTTATTAATGAAGGAATTAAAACAGGCAACGAGGCTCAAGTTACTCTCTGCAACGTTGAGCTTACTCATTTATCTAGTAAATTTGAACTATATCTTTCTTTTCATCTATAAATTGTTTTTGAAGAAACAAATGTTAAAACCTACCAGATTATTAGCAATATTTTATATTGTATTTGCCAGTGATTAGAAAATAATTGTAATAAATATATCCTGTTATTATATGAAATATCGATGTCTTGACCTATTACTGCAAACATCTTAATCCTATATTTATCTTTTATTTAAAAAAAATGCCAACCTATACATCTGACTTCACAAAAGAAGAATAAACATTTTATTTTTTTCGAATTTTGATCTAGAAGTTCACTCTTTTGATCTCATTATATAACTCGTCAACATGATATTGTAAAAGTATCAAGCTGAATTAACATTTGGCATATATACCTTGTTCTGAGATTCGGTGTCTAAAGTACTATGCATGTAAGAAAAATACCAATACATCAATTATAATTAACTAACAAATCAGAAACAATTTCAAGATCGTAACGAAATATAATGAACTGTCTATGAGATAAAAGGGTGTGGACGTGGAGTGTGGGTGTGGGTGTGGGTGTTTATGAAGAACAGACACCCATACCCACAGACACCTTTCCAGACTCACACCCACATCCGCATCCACCCCAAAAAACTACGATAGTATTAAGAGCAATAATGCAGATGCTACGGGCCATACCATTCCAACTATGGATTTTCCTGTAGGATCTGGACAGTTTCGTCCTTGGAAATTTTCGAGCGCAGCATACCCTCACATTTTGGGATCATTTTGTAGCTCTTAAAAAGCTCTATCTTTCCTGAATTATGAGACTAATTTGGTAAACTAACGTGGTTAACCTGTGAAAGGGATTCCGATATTGATAATGCGTCTGTTCTAGGTAGAAATGTCGAGAAGAGGTCTCGAAACATGGCCTGAAAGAGGTCCAGATGCTTTATTCTTAGTTAGAGGAAGGTAAAATTCAATTTTATTAAGTGTTCTGAGATGATTTTTATTTAGAGCCGTTTTAAGTGCAAACATGTCCCCTCCTTTGAATTGATGATACTTTCACAATAAAATTACGTATCGTCATTGAATAAAACTTTTAAAAATTTACTTTAAAAATCAATAATAGAAATAATTTATAATGAAAAAAAAACAAAACAGTAAGTTTTTAAGGAAAAATAATGTTCCATCTAATTTATTTTCGTTATAATCTTCGAATACAAATACAAGAAATTCGCAACGTAAAAAGTAAAATGTTCATAACTACTTTGAGATCTATTCATCTTTAAAATAATTTGGGTGTGGGTATCGATCGTAATGTTCTTTTTTCCATAGCCCACACCCTCGTTTTTTCCCGGTTTTGCTTCTGTAATCTGGTTTGACGGATTGCAGCGTCATTTATCGACGTTTTACATTGTTAATCGCCATCCTATAGCTATTTCAAGTCGTCTACGACGCAGTTTTATTGGACCTGGGTAGCCTTGATATTTCATCTGTTATTTTTGTGATGTCTCAAATAAATTCATTATCTCTCGTTAATTTTCTTTTCTTATCTTTGTCTGTGTCGAAGAAAAGATCTGGACTATACTACGCACTGTTTTCTTTGCAAAGCGATGATGTATAGGTTGTTTTTCTACTTATACTCTCTTATACTTCTTCAAAAGAGAGTCCTAATGAAAAAAATTCATTTTCTCTCTCTTTGAGACTGCGCACATACAAACTTATGTGTTTTGTCCTGTAATGTTGGGCTTTTCATGCGATGAAATGAGGCAGCAAAAATGATCTCATAGGATGTCGTATTTGTTAAATAATTATTGAAAAGGTGGAATTCATGAGTACATTTATCAGTTTAACTGACAATGTAAAATGTTATACTGTCACAAGAAATCTGGAAGTAGCAATAAGGATACTTTATTTTCGTATTAAAGACTTGAGGAAAGTTTCTCTTTACATATTATGAAAGCAGAAACAATGTTCTGTTTTTCTGTGATATTTGATCATTGTTTAACTATTATCATAACAGTATAATATCTGTAAGAATTATTGGTTATAATATCTAACGATCATATTAGACCATATTCTCTTCAATATATATTCTCCTTTTGGACTCTGGTATTCTCTACTCTCACATCTACACTATATATACTGCTACAAAGCATAGCTATGTGCCAAATAGAATAAAATATTATTTTCATTAACTCCATTGCAATAGAAAAGAACACAATGTATACGACAAAAATATTTACATTTTTCCTTATAGAAAAATGTTTATATACGTGGCTATTTATTTCATGAGACGGACAGAACAGGATAAGACTTCAATAGTTTGATAAATATCTCATGACATATGATGAAACAGAAATAGGGAACAATTATCCTATGCTACCAAACATCAAAGTATTTACGTCTTATTTTCTTCCATGCTATGGAAAATTCTCATCCTATGGAACGCTCTGACATGTATAAATATCATTTGCGTGTCATAGATATAGATATACGCAATGGCACATATTCATATCGAAACTGTTGTAGCGCTGTTAACAGAGTTAGGCTTGAATAGTATTTCTCTTTGTGGCTATTGTTATCGACATTTATCATATTAAAATAAATGTATATTCAAAATATTGTTTTTATGTTAATATAAGCAACATATATTTCTAGTTTTTATACTGTCAAGTACTATAGTCAAATTATTTAATACATATACGTATTCAACCAACATCACATCATCTCGTGTTCACTTCTTTGAGATGCTCCTTTTAACGAAAGCATGTATAGATATAAGGTAATTTTCTGATTTCAGTTTTGATAAAAAAAAACATTATTTTAGTGAGGGTTAGAAACGTTTTTTCAACAGAGTAAATCATATGAACCTTTTAGCAAATTAGAAATCTTTCCTATAATTGGAGACTATTTATCCGTTAATAAAAGAGGAGAAATACAGACTACAAGATCGATTCTCATGATTGATTTTCTAAAATAATTTTCTCAATTTATTTTTGTTTTCCTTGCCATTTTTGTGCCTGTTTATAACTAAATTCGATCTGGACAATATTTCGCGACTATCATATTAACGTTGTATTAGTTCTTGTTTGCAAACTAATAAAAAAAGTATTCTTTTATCACGAATATTTCCTGAATGTGCCAAACTATCACTTTGGAAAACGTTCCAAAAAAACTTTTCCATTTATTTCTGACAACACATGTAAATACTTTTCATATTAACTCTTCGAGTACAGAATTTTTTTTAAAACTAAAAATATTTATAATTTCAAATCAATATTTATTTTTTCAAAATATGATCAAATACATAATTCAGAATACTTTCAGAGTAAAATAATCTTTAAAACAATCCGTTACACACAACCCTACATCGCATTCAATACATTCATAAAATGTATCTTTTCTCGACTTGCCTCTCCTCACAGTATGAGCTCAAACGTAACACTTTCTCCTTCATGTTGCTTGAGTGACTGTTGATGCAATGCGCGGAGGAAAATGTCTTTCTGTAAGTCGAAGTGGATTTTCAGAAGATGGTCAATCAATTGAAGTTCGCACCTGACTACCGTATTTTCCGATAATGTCTCGAATAAGCTCAAGTTGATACGCAGCCAAATGAAGATTGACATTTTTTTTCAGCTTATATAAAACATATGCATTATAAATTGTAAGATCCATCAAATGAAAGAAGAACTTTTTGTACCATTTTTCTGACCGATGGATGTACTCTGAAAAGCTTATTTGTATGTCATATTTATCAACCAAACCTCTGTTCTCATTGTATTCTTTAAAATAACTCCCTGATAGCGTACCAATGCATGATATACTTGTACGTTACGAAGCTTCTCATCTTAAAACCATTCTACTGTTTTCACAGAATTTGTGCTACATGGAATCAACTCTGTGTACACAAACTCTAGATTATTCTGACTGAAAAAATCGTATTTCTGGCAAGATTAGCATAAATCTACTAGTATTTGACAGTTCTACGCGCCTATAGGCCGTGCCAATGGTTTATTGAAGAAATGAAGGAAAGATATCAGCTTAAAAGCTTTTAGTTTCAGTTTCTTCCTCTTAAAATGAATTTTTCTTTTTTTTTAATACTAGTTTGTCACCCTGCACACTTAATTGCTTGAATCCAAAACTCATCGCATAATACAGTAGCCTCATTGATATTCAAGCTATGGTGTGGTAAGTTATTGGTCCTTAACTAACAACAAGAGTTTTCTAATTGGTAGTAGTTTTCAATGCGAACCTCGGATCTCCTCTATTTCCCAGCAAGATTTTACTAGTAATAGCTCCATTTCTGAGCTTTTGAATGACGCGTTGCACGAAAGAAAAAGTCGAAAAATGACCGAGCTATGTCTTTCGTAAAGCGATAACAATGTCCAAATGATAGCTTTAGCATGCATCAATCAATCGAGGACGTGGTGATGTTTGCCATCAGGTTTCACTAAGATCGACATGTACACAAAAGATTAGTTTGAAATGATAGAATATAGTACGACCCTACGAGAGGGTTATCTACTTTTGTCTACAATTGTATACAATCCCACATCCGACTCACTCATAAAAAGTTTTCTATAGGTTTCGTGAATTAACTAAATAGTCATCTTTGAGCTAACC